GCTCAGTTGGTAGAGCATCGCACCGGTATCGCGGAGGTCACGGGTTCGAATCCTGTTGAAGCCCTGATTTTTTTCAGGCTTCTTCTTTCCAGTTGCTTATATTGGAAAATTTACTGCGATGATCATTCTTCACTTTCATCTACAACCGCAGTTCAAATATGAATTATGTCATATATACTTCACATCTTAACTTATTAAATTATTTTAAGATAAATTCCTACAATGATAGCATGAACGAACGGCCTTCTAAAAAGCATTATTGTATATAACTTTGTTTTTATATTCATATTCTTGAAATAAACTAACCGTTTACTGGAATACTGGTTTATGTTTTAGTTCATTGATGTCGAATACCAACAGCTATTTTGTGCCAACCTATAGCGCACTTCTTCAAACAAACGGACTTTCCCGCAACTACACATTTGACTTGATCCCCAGGGGTGTGTGTTAACAATAGATTTTATATTTTAAATTTACTATATTTATTTTATTACTCCCGTGTTTTATCATCGTGATATTGATAACAGCTTTTGGTTGTAGTAAATTCGTACATTACCGCAAGCTGTAAGCTTTAACATGTGTCACTCCCTGACGTTTTATCATAGACACTTCGCATAAATAGCGCCTAAATTTGTATAACAACACTTCATACACCCTGAGCATCGTATTTATGTTTCCAGACGTGAATGTGAGGCTTGGGATGTATAAGGATTGTTAATCAAATATCTGCGCCATTAATGTAGTGTCTATTCAACATACAAGGTGAACACCGACCTGCACCTCTTCAAATTGGTGAAATAAGACGATTTCATTAAAGATACAACACTGAAGTATAGCCGAGACGGCTACACGTGCCTTGGTGGCAACAGAAGATGAAGGGTGAGAGAATTAATCACCCATATGACCTTATTCGTAAGGCAACTCCTCTTAATTAAGCTTATTTTAAGATCACTCCCGACTTCAAAAGTCACTGGAGGGTCGAGAAATAGCCGATCATGTGGCGCACATTTTACTTTCCGCGTATTTTCACCATCAAAAGAAAAATCTACGCAGCTCACATGAAGACATTACCCCCGGGAGAACTGGATATCATATCTAAAAATAAGTTAAGAGGAATATACCATGAGAATAAAGCCTACATGGGAGTTCAACTCACTTATCCATCATACTCTTCTTTTGTAAATTATTCTTTTATCACCATGGTATTCCATGCATTGAAGGAATAGTATTTGTTTATTATCTTATTCTACATGTATCATATTTCATCTTACTTAATTTATGTTATGTAGCGCTACGCTATGTTTTCCTTTCGTATCGTATCTTAAATGATCCCTCCGGCTCTCTGTAACCATGCTTATCTTTACCGTCACCTTGTTGTATTGAATATTATCTCATTTGTATATCTAGCAATCTATACTTAAGTTGTCGTATCTGAGATTCAGCTTGGTGTATACTCCGCAAGGTCTAAGGTGTTTCCCTGTAATCTCTTGTGAACGTCCTGCCATGATTGCCATTCTTGATAAGATCATGAAACGTTTGGTTGAGTTCTTGGATCTTATTCCCAAGATCTTGCAGCTTATCTTGACTTATGTTATCCTTGTCAAGACTTGTTTTCGTTAGTGACAATGAAAGAAGATCAAGTCGCCCTGTAAATAACATAATGTTACAGGTCACTCCTTGGGCGGTCAGTAGTTAGTAAAAAAGGCAGTAAAAAAAAAAACTATAGCACTGAATTTTTGGCAGCCCTGTCTTCGTCAGAGTAAAATATGGACTAAGAGTAGTAAAAAGATTCTTTTAAAGATTTGTTTAGGTCCCTGAGGCTAGGGTTGTAACAAAGGCACGTAAGCCTTAGAGAAAGGCTGGAGTTCATTTACAGCGCTAGTAGAATGTCAAGACTCTAAGAACAACAACTGATTGTTCACTCCACGTTCCATTAGGTTGGATGAATGTCATGCCCAGTCGCCTTTCAAAAAGAAAACTTGATTTACATTTCACTTGTACGCAGTTCCTTGATCTTGAAGTGTCAGCCACCACTTTACATGTCATTACCTCTCCTCGGCAGAGGTTTGAAGATGAGTGCAAGCGCAAAGTCGAATTTCACGTTACCCTGCACTGCATGCAGGGCACTTAGCAGATTCTCCCCACCCGAAAAAAAACCCTTTGAGCCTCTGCGAAGGAGGCCGCTCTTTTTCGGTGTTTCTAAATGAGACCAAATTCAAAATAAGAGGCACAGCAATTTCTTGAGCTCAATTCTTTTAAGTTCCAAACAAATCCGTTTTTATCCACTTCCAACTAATCAGAAGCGCGTATTTACGGTAGCAGTATTATTATAGGGAAAACAAACCTCTTTTAGATCCGAGGCAGTAGAATCTACGGTACACGTCCCAGGCCCAGCCAATCATCATTAAAAACGCGGTCACTCCCAAGCATGTAAAAAACACCGGGAAATACAGCAAACCATCAGGATCAAACAAGTTGGCTCCACTGTCGTCCTTGTTTTCAAATTCACTCTGGAGAACAAAAAGGTTACTCAGGTTTTGCGAGTTGTTTAATAGTTGTTCCTATATTCTGACACAAGATAGATACAACTAAAATTAAGTTTTTTCGCAGGAAAAGTTTGCTTGTTACTGGAATTGTTATTAGCTCTTATTAACCGAGCAGGAGGTCTGTATGGGAGAATCTTGACCGAGGTCGTGAGTACAGACCGAGGTCAAGATTCTCCTATACAGACCGACTTAGCTCGGTTAATAAGATGTTTATTATATGGCAAAGAAGAAAACTTTAATTCGTTTTTAATTTAATGTAACTGGTTTGCTGACAGTTTGCTTGCGAACGGCGATGAGCTTAACTTAAACCTGCCGAAATTTGCTCGTCCTCTTTACTTTTTTTTGTCATCAGGCTTTTTGGCACTTCCATAAATGATTGAGAAGAAAATAAAACAAAACGGTGAACATTTTTGTATTTTAGTTTGCTACTTTTTCAGCGCAAAATGAAACCGGTCTAGATGCCGCTCTAGATGGGAAAATCTAAACCGCGGTCAATATCAATTTCAGCCAATCAAATTCGTGAATTCGGTAGTTCCCAGTCCTTGTAAGATACAGCCATATAATAAATCGAGGATATTACATGGATTGACCGCGGGGAACAAGTGAAATATTTGTCAACACGAGAAAAGAATTTTCGTATCTCCAAGTGGCCATATAATGTTCTATTTATTATTAATATAAACACCATTGAAATCCCAAACCATTTTACTTTAGCTGTAAAAGGCGCCATTTATTATGTAACCATAGCAACGGTGATCTTTTCACATGTGAAGATATAATGTTTTCACGCGAAAGCTCACCTGGTATTTTATTGGTTTTTATATAATAAAACAAAACATTATGGGTACACTGCGTTAAATTTCCATTGCCCATTCTTTGAGCGTCTTTGATAGAGCGAGGTCGAGATACGTTTGCATTGCGCATTTTGTGGGAAAGGTTTCTGCGTGCGGAACTTAATATATTTGGGTGGAAGACCACCATAACGGTACTAAACAGTACTTACCGACAATGATTGCTCCAAGAATACTTCAGCGTGCTCGTAAAAGTCTGATTCCTGGATGTACCTCTTTTCACGAAAGCAGTCAGCCAGTAGTTCGTTATTGTTTACGAGAACGCCATACTCCAAATTTTTCTGTTGAATTACTTCCTGAACTTTTAGGTTATTGGTTGGATAATTACTTTTGAAATGAATCCAGAAATAAGCGTCCATTAATGCTCCTGTGGAAAATGATTTATTTCATGGTGACTGATAGGTTAATAAAGTTCAGTGTTCATCAGTTATCAGTACTTGCGGTAACCACTGTTCAGTAACTGAAGATCGGTATAGTGAATGCAGGCTCGTAATAATCTTTAGAGAAAGAAACTTCAGCGAGTTAAAACAGCATTGCGTTCGCAAAGCACTTTCATTTCTATGCAATCTTATATAGGTCATTTAAAACCACCCTTCGTGACTGACAACGTCATATTGTAAAATTAAATTGAATCGTTACACGGTACGTGCATGAAAAAGAATGATATCATAATTTGTAGATACAACACATAAGCAGAAGCACCATGTTGTAGTCATCATGTCAGCAAGGAATACAAGATCTTTTTAAAAAAAAAACACACAGCACTCTGCTGTTGAGTATGAGGCAGTAACAATTATAATTGACTTTCAGAGAGCATTGAAGTCTTTTTGAAAAAGAACCAATCAGCTCTTATCACCTTGGACTTGACCACTTTGAAGACGTTCATTGATGTCACGTGCTGTTTCCACTCCTGTAAATTAAACAAAATAACACGGTTAACCGTGCATGATAAAAGGTTTAAACCGGTCCACCAATCAAAAATAATTCCAGCCATTTTACTCTTCAAGTTATCCCCGACAACTTGTCATTTGACCACAATGCAAAACACTTTCCTAAACAACATTGTCTTCTCGATTGCGGCAAATGCGATCAAGGAGTGACACTTTTAGTCACTCCGCGAGATTTCTCGATGATTAATTCAAAATTTTAACTTAACTACTCCAATAATCTACCAGTTATAAACTACCAAAAAGACCCATAATTAAATTGGGTTAGTGTATAACACGAAAGGTACTCACTTGTAAGTTTGACCTGCTGTTGGAATCCTGTTATGCTTTCAATGGAATCAACGAGAGCCACTACCTGGTGAGTGAGACAGCATTAATTTCGTTTTGAGGCCCTAGTAGGGGTTTTTGGGATACGGCATTTAAGAATGATAATTTATTAACTTCTAGAGCGCTATAATTAGAACAAAGAGTCCTATGAAAATACGCGCGCTGACTGGTTAAAAATCGTGTTTCTACAACTCCATAGAAACACAGAACTAGCACGAGCTGTCGACGTAATGATGGCGCGAGCAAAGAGAATTTACATTTTGATAATCAAAGTTAACAAGTTGTTTTCCTTTTTTTCGTCGCGGTGTTTTCTAAAAGAAATAGAAAACATGTTCTCTGTGTTTCTATCGAGTTATAGAAACACTCGTGACAGTTTGGAAGAACTCGAAAAAGCTTGTTCCCACAGCATTTCTCGCTCTCCCAAACTTCCTCTCGTTTTTCTATTTAACAAATAGATTCCATGTTGCTGTGCGACTGTTCAGTATTGGTATCACTCAACTAGTGGACTAATGCAAATCCTGCATTTTAATTGGCTACGCTAGTAGAGGATTATTAGTAATAGTCCTCGAGTAGCGAAATTGGCGCAATCGAGCGTGACGCTTTCTTTCGTTTTATTCCCAAACAAATATTTCTTCAACTTG